CGCGGACGAGGGGGCGGCGGGCGAAGGGCCCCGCGCCTCTCTGAGGAGGAGGAAGCGGAGCTGCGCCCCGGGGAACGCCAGGACCCGCGGATGATGTCGCTCTCGTCGCTGTAGCCCACAATGGAGAAGTGTCTGGAGACGGGAGATCGCCGGCCGGAAGTGCCGGCGCTCGGCGACGCCGTCAGGCTTTTCTCAAATTCAAAGAGCTGCTGGGAGAGTTTGGCCTCCAAGTCGCCGGCCGACGTCAGCAAAGCGTCCAGGGCGAAGGACGACGGCGCCGGGCCGTTGGAGCCGCAGCGCGCCTTCTGCTGGGAGCGGCGCCATTGGCTTTGGCCCCCGCCGAGGCCCGGCTTCTTCTGTTTGGGGTTCTCCACGAGGCTCATCAACGCTTGCCCCAGCGTGGCGCTGCGGCTCGCGTGCCGGGAAGAGTGAGGCTCGGCGATAATTTAGCTTGAGCGGCGACTGGGCTGACGTGGCTGCGTGCGGGCCGGCTGGGGCGCGGCGGCGGGAGTCGAGGCCTCGCCGGCGGCCTACCTTTGGGTCTCTGCGGCCCGCTGCTGGAACGGCTCTCCCTCCTGCTTTCCTTCGGGGCCGCGTTGGTCTCGCTTACGCCGGGCCATCTCCGCTCCTCGCTCCTCTCAAAGTAGTCCAGATCCCATATCGTGTGATCTTCATAAGAGGTCACATTAAGGTCGTCGCCGTTGGGGCACGAAGGATCGGAGCCGTTTTGGAAAGTGCTCTCCTCCTCCTCCTCCCCCTCGGGTTCATGTTGACCTGTTCCCTTGGCCATTTTTAGGCCGGAGTCGTCGATTTGGACAAAACGATGCGGAAAGATGCCACGCCGCCCTCTCAGTTCGCCCTCCAGCCAGCCGTCGTCCATGGTGTCGACGACGCGGATGCGGTCGCCCACGTCAAAGTCCAACTCGGCGGGCTCCATGGCCCGGAACTCGTAGAGCGCCACTCCGTACACGGCGCCTTCCGCCTCCGCATCGCCTTGTGGGGCCGACTCTTTCTGCCGCTCCTCCACCTCCGCATCTTCGGCGGCGTCTTCTTCGGCGGCATCGTCGCGGTCATCGCCGAAACAGGGGCAGCGCGCGAGCTCCCGGGGTGACCGAAGAGGACTCAGGAGCTCCACGAAGCCCTCGGGAAAGACGCCCCTGCGGCCGTCCAGCTCCCCCTCGAACCAGCCCGGCTCGGGCAGCCCGGTGATGATGATGGCGTCCCCCTCGCGGAAGTCCAGCTCCTCGTTGAGCTGCGCGTGCAGACTCATGAGAGCCCGGGCCCGGCCGAGGGCGTACGCCGGCAGGTCCGAAGTCTGAGCCTGGGCCGAGCGCTCCGACAGCTGCCTGGAGCGGCACGAGAGGGTCAGCTCCTTCACGCAGGATGCGGGGAAGACGCCGCGGGCCCCCCGGGCGTTGCAGCCACAAAGCCAGGATTCTCCAAAGGCCGTGGACTCCCCCGCCTGGCCAACCAGCACGTCGCCTGTGGAAACGCACAACGGCCACCGCTTATTCCGACATCGACCGCTCGGCTTCTTCGTGACAATTTGTAGCCGCGCCCATTTTTAGATGACCGCTGCTTGTAATTGAACCGCTGGAATCTGCTCATCACCGCGGTCGATAAACAGAACCTCGGAAACAGAACAGAACATTTTCACTCTTCCTCCGTGACCTGACGCAGCCAATAAAACCTTTCATTCCGACGACTTAAGGAAGGAACTTTATTTCCTGCATTTCGTTGAGTTTCATTTTTTTCCTCCGCCCCGACACTGCAGCATTGTACTGGATGTTCCAAAGCCCTTAATTGAGCAAATACAACGAAGAGTCGAAGCGAGCAAAAGCTAAAATCTCCTGGATTATTTTGAAGAACGCGACAGGATGAATGAAATTGAAAATGCAAGCAATGTCATTTATTTGAGTGATTTTTTTTTCACGACCCGTCTGTCATGTCTGTAAGCGAGCCCGAGCATTTTGCCTCCCAGATCAGCCGGCGGCAGAAATGCTGCAACCGGCCGCGGCTGAGGAGGAGTGAACGGAAGAAACGGAAACCCTCTCGTGCTTAAATATGCTCTGTTTATTTTGCGAGAGCATCGGCGGAATGACTGCTCAGCTACAAGTTATGGGGGTCACATTCCAAAGAGCCCGCGGCTCCGCCTCCCATTGTGTCTGCGGGCAGAACTGGGACCAGGCCAAGAGGAGCGTGGAAATTCCGACTGCAAGTGAACATGCCGCCAGTGTGGACCATTTCCCAGGATGCAGGAAATGTCATTTGCTGGATCTCGTTCAAACAAGGATATACGGCAAGACCATGTTATCATTGGGGGGCATTTTTTGAAAAGAATGCATTTGGTGAAGCGTCGTGACAACAGCAATTTTACCGGGGTGACGTATCGTCGCAAACATCGTTGTCTCTAGGTGTCAGAGTGACGGTAAAAGAATGACACGCGCGCACACACACGCGTACACACCCAAAGATTGTGTACATGTCATGTCATCGCATGAAAAGAATTCCGGGAAACGAGAAAAGAAAAAAACACAACAGGTGAGTTCACGACAGTCTCCGTGAAGCATCTGAGGACATCTAGTGGGGAATTTGTAGGAAGCAGCCCGACACAAGAGAGGATAAGAAAGTGGGGCACAAACTGAGCATTTTCCTTCTTCGCTCGCGACAAAGCCGACAGAGGCACGATTCTCGGATGTCCCCGAAGGATACAAAACGAAAACAATCGCTATGTGTCTATCCCGTTGAAGGAGACCAAAGTGAAAAGAATCAGTCCAAACTCCATTTGCAGCCGTTTCCCTGGGAGCTGCGACACCCAAAAGAAGTTTTAAATTCAACCAGAACAGACCACTCAGCAGAAGTCATTTCACTCAATGTCCAATCGAGTTTCGATGGAGGGTATTCCTACGATTGGATTTGTCTCAACCACATAAGATAATGGGAGCTGCGACACCCAAAAGAAGTTCAGCCAGAAAAAAACCACTCAGCAGAAGTCATTTCACTCAATGTCCAATCGAGTTTCGATGGAGGGTATTCCTACGATTGGATTTGTCTCAACCACATAAGATAATGGAGCCAAATGGTCCCATTTCAATTCCATACCTCTCACGAGGGAAAGACCGTCCGGTTGCGTGGAGCAGAAATCATTGACGCACACGTAGAGGGGATCTTCAGGCTTGGAGCTGGGAATGGTCACCTCTTCCACAAAAGTGCTGGGAAACTGACCTGAAGCCGGCACACATTGGGAGGGGGAGAGGGAGAGGGAGGGAAAACCCAACTTCCTTAGTTGGCATGACCTTTAGTCATGCTGCTCATATTTTAAGAAACTCGGCGCTAATGTCTAAATATCCCCGTCGTGGCGTCGACTCGAATGCGCCGAACGTTCTCTTGAGGTCCGCTTACCGGTGACGCCGTCTTTGTTGCCCAGCAACCAGAACTCGTCCACCACGCCGAGCACCTCGATGACATCGCCGGTGAAGAGGGGCAGCTCCTCGGAGACGCTGGGGAGGAACTCGAACACGGCGCGCACCAGCGATCCCGCTTCCATGACTCATAACCTGCGTGGACAACAAAGTCATGTCACTCTTTGGAACAATTCCTCCACGTGACCCTCGTCGGTACACCAGAACTCCGTTTCAAAGAGAAGAAGACAACCAAAACACAACGCGGGAGGTCAATGAAATTGACCTTGCCGAAAAGTACTCATGGGATTGATACTGAGTGAAGAGTTGTTTTACTCTGGAGTCTGTTGTGGCCAAAGTCGGAAAGCGACGCGAGACCAAGGCGGGCAAGCATTGTGGAAAGAGCAAGCAAGGAGTACAAACGGAATCTGGCTCATCTTCCTTCGCATTACAAGAGCGGCAGCAGTCGCGTACCAGAAGCTGTGCGCCCGCAGAAGCGTGTCCTGGCATGCACAAACCTATACGTGAACCATCTGCGAGTCTTCTGAACAAGACTCGCAGATGATCCTGGAAGGGAGTGGACGACAAGTTGCAACATTTACAGCTGACATGCCTAATGTGTTTGCTGTCAAAATGTCAAGTTCCATGACACGAACCGAGCCTATTTAGGCGGTGCCCTTGGCTGTATTTTCCAAAAGTGCCCATTGAACCTTGAGGTTGCGTTGACCTGGACTCGCAAAGGGCCGCTGGACTGCTGCAAGCGCTTTCTGTCGGCTAATCCGCAGATCTGCATGCAGCCAGACAAGCTCCTTATTGTTATTTATGGGTCTGGGTGACTGTGTCACCGCTTTGCCTGACGAGAGTCAGGGGGGTGGGGGGGGGGGCAGCCGGGCTCAGAGTCGTCTCTCCCGGATGGAGTCCGGCGGTTGCGCAGACGCGCGTCTCGTGCTTGTGACGGCACATGATGCTCTGGCCGTCATGATGGAGGCTGATAATGAATTGCAAAAATGGAGCACGGAAGACTGCTGAAGGCCTCAAGTTTCAACTCATCTTTAAAGACCCTCATAATATACCCCACAAAAAACTAAACAATTTTGGGCCCTGGCATGCATAAATAAATAAAATATAGCAACTGTTACTTTGCACGAAACACAAAGGTTATGCACAGATTCTAAGGGTTCCCCGGAACTTATTGAGGGTGTCAGATGTTTCTGACTCACCAAAAGGCCACTTTTGTTTGGGTTTGAAGAAAAAAAATAGAGGGAACACATGATCCTGGTTCAAAGACAAAACAATTCGTCAACTTTGCTGTGACCATTCATGCTTGGCATCTCATGGGTAGACCAAAACAGGTGTGTCTCCTCCTGGACAGTTTACAAGGTCCTGATAACGGATGAACTTTGCACATTCTAACATGTCCCGGTGGTTCTTTTCTTGCAACGTGGGGTTAAAATAGTTGAGAACTAGCGCTGCAAGTCTTCCAGAACGGACCACAGCAGTCTCCGCTCAACTTGTATTTGAAGAGCACTTGAAAGCAACCACCGCTGTCGACAAAGTGCTACACATGGAGCAACAAGAATTCCTATGGCAACAAACAAGAAAACACTTCATTAAGATCAAAGACAGGAGAAGGCATAAAAACAGTCAAACTAAAAATCTAGTCTCATGCCGAGTCAAAAGCCAAAGAATAGAAATGAGTTGGAAATATGGGCAGCGAGGGGGCTCGCCCAACACTGATTCCAAAGAGAGGGAGCGGCAACGGAAAAGGCTCCATCTGTTTCGTAACTTGAAAATTTCGTATGAAGAGACGTTCGTTAAGTAGAGGGTACCACTGTACAGTGAGAACACCAGAGGCCCCAGAATTGAACCCTGTGGAACCCCACACGACAATGGGGCGGTTCATGACTCAAAGCAACTAAGGTTAACACAAAAGGTCCAATAGGAGCCAAATGGGACCTAAACTACTCAAGGGCACTACCGCCAATGCCCACCAGGTGCTGCAATTTACTGTAGCAAATGCTGCACTGAAATCCAATAAAAGCAGACACACATAGAAATGAAAGAGACAGTATGATTGTGAGCCACTTGGCAGTGCAGTCCAGCAAGTAGCAGTATTCCGGCAGACAGCTACGTCAACAGTTGACACACACACACACACACACACACACACACACACACACACACACACACAAACACGCGACAGCTAACAGCTGTCTATTTTGTGCTTTTAATGTGACGAGATTGGAATGAAATGAGAATGAACAGCTTGAGCTTCAGATTCAAATTGCCCTTTCCCGAGTGTGAACGCCTGCACGACATGGGCTGTTGCTGACGGTCTGCATCCTTTATTGAACCGACGCCAACAATGTAGACATGGCAGCTCGCGGCCCATTCAGAGCGCCACAGGGGCAGACTGGCCTACGCGCGCAGACTGGCAGAAGCCTCTGGAGAGGGCTGGCTCGGGTTGGGTACCAACTGGTGA